GTTGAATTATTTGTTTGCTTGTTTTATAGAGAGACTTTTGCTCTAGAGTACATGTGCTCACTGGAGAGAGAGAGTGAGACAGAGAGACAGAAAATGAGAAATCACCCCCCCCCAACCACCAGGGGGATGGCCTTGCTGTAATCCCTTCTTCTCCATTCTCCTCTTGGGATTTTGGCCATGCACACACACATGCCCAGCATGAGTTTTAAGCTGCCGGGTCCAGGACTCAAACCAAGATCAACTATGTGGGAATTCAGTGACATCACTACACCATCTTCTGGTCCTAATATTGCTATTGAATTATGTAAGTACAACAAAAGAAAGAACTGAACACCATTTCTTGTTTGAATGTCATTTACTAAAATGTTTAGCAATGTCATTTGATAGAACTAAAGATGATTTTTTTTTTTGCTGTTTGAATATTATTTACTCAAAATGTTTAGCAATGTCTTGTAAATATTTTGGTTGGGATGTTACCATTTAAAAGCCTTCGTAGAACTGAGACATCAGGAGACGTCTGACTTTTTATTATATCAAATATTAAGATGTTCTCATGTCCTACATTAAACACTATTTATGTATAAATAAATTACATGTTAATATAGTTAAATAATTGGCATAATGTATTATTTCATATGCAATGTATTAGTCAATTATTATAACTTTAGTTTTTTTCATAGTTTTGAGTCTGTGTGTATGTGTGTGTTTGTGTGTATATATATATGTATATGTGTGTATACATATATGTACATATTTGTATACACACACATATATATGTATGTATGTATGTATTATTTAGTTATTTATTTATCTATTTGCCTAAGAGTATGTGTGCTCACTAGAAAGAAGGAGACAGATCAGAAGCGCCCTCCTCCCACATACAATAGGGTGGGGTCATACTTCAATCCGTTTTCCTTCATTTTTCCATCCTGTTAAAAGTTTGAACATGCACATAGTCATGCTTCATGCGTTTTCAAGCCATTAGAGCTGAGATTTGAGCCTTGGTCAGCCATATGAGATCTGATTTCCAATGTGTACACTTAATCACTGTGCTACAAGGCCAGGCCCATACTTTACACACACACACACGTATATATACACCTGTATATATATACACACACACATACACATATATACTTTACACGCATATATATGTATATATATGTATATATATGCGTGTAAAGTGTATATAAATACACTCACACACACACACATAGTTTTAAAAATCCTGACAATCCCAGGATCCACTGCTTCTAAAGATTTATGGGGGACCAGCAGTTAGCGTAATGGCTATGTCGCTGGACTCCCACATAGTCGACCGCGGTTCAAGTCCTGGACCCAGTGGCTTAAAGTCATGTCAGGCGTGTGTGCGTGTGTGCCCAAGGCCCCAAGAGGAGAAAGGAGGAGGATTGCAGCGTGGCCATCCCCCCTGGGGGGTGATTTCTTGCTTTCTGTCTCTCTGTCTCTGTCTGTCTGGTGAGTGCACACGCCCTATAGCAAAAACCTCTCAAAAAAAAAAAAAAAAGATTTATGGGAAACTTATTGGCCTGGGAATGAAAGTATGAAAGTTAGTTTATATCTGCAGGCTAACGCTTCGTCTTAAGACTCATTACAAAAGAGTAAGAGAATGTTTATTTATCCAATATATTTCTCATTTTTCAAAATAATAAGATTTAGCAATTAGTTTCTCAGTTTGGCATATTTTATATTTATGTCTTCTGTCCTAACTTTTATTTTCCTTTTTTTTTTTAGCATCATTTCATCTTTAGGATCAGTCTAGGGACTTCTATTTAGTATTAATTTATAGATCAATTGTTCTGTTAAATTTAAACCACTTTGTTTAAAAACAAAACAAAACAAAAAAACCTTAGTTTACTAAACTTTTCCTAAACATTGTGAGTCAAGTTCTTATGCTGGTGCCAGCTGGCAGTAATCATGAGAATGTGTTACCATAGATTGTGTAGTAGTTGAGAATTTACTGTTCTTTGCCTATGTTCTGACCAAAAGAAAGGAACAGTTTTGAAGGTTAGTATATAGGCTTTTTTTTTTATTAAACTAACCTTCTCAGTGTTGACATCTTTGCATATTATTGATGCTAGCACTGAACTTACTTTTTGATGTAATAATATATCAATAGAAATAGAACACCTGCCATTTCATAGACTTGCCGATAAAATTCTGTTACAAATTAGCTAGTTCATTTTTTTCTGAGTATTTTCTAGAATAAAGAAAATGTATCTTGTAAAAGTAATAAAAGCCAATCCATATGTATATATATCCCATATACTTTTCCTTTTCAACTGGCAACTAAACCGTTTAAAATAAATTAGTGTTGAAAGACATAAGCACATCGGAGCCTGAGATCTGCCTTACTACAGTAACTGGAGTGGAGGTACAAAAGCAAAATTGTTCACAGGAAGTCAATTGTGAGAAAGCCACAGGGACAACCCATACCAGTAACACAGAGCACTTTCATGAAGTCACTGAAGGCAACAGTATTTTCTTTCTATTGTCAAATCAAATGAAATAATTTTAAAATGGAAGGAACGTAGAATGAGTAAGAAGGAGCTATAGTTTCAGTGTAATCCCTCTACAAAAGCTCATGTATAGGGGGATATGTGGTGGCACAGTGACAACACAACTGAACGCACATGGGGAAGGTCCTGGGTTTGTGTCCTGGGATTTCCCTGAGCGTGTTAGGCACACGTACCTACATGCCCATGGTCCTTCCTGGCTGAGTCCCACATAGCTGACTGTACTGTTTGAGTCCAGGACTCAGAGACTTTAAAAAACATGCTGGGCACATGTGGGTGTATGCTCAGAATCCCAAGAGGAGAGTCGAGGAGAAGGAATTGAGGAATGATGGCCATCTCCTCGGGAGGGGGTACTTTCTCACTTTTCCTCTCTCTCTCTCTCTCTCTTTCTCCAGTGAGGGAAGGCACTCAACAGCAAATTAAAAATAAAAGTTCTGGTCCCATCAACTTGAAAAATCAGGCTGGGCATGTGCAGGTGTGAGTGCATACCCTGACTCATGACAGGATGAAAAATGGAGAAAAAAGAATTGTGATATGACCAAGCCTGGTGAGGGTGGGTGATTTCTGACACCTACCCTCTGGCATTAAAACAAGACATTCAGGGACCAGCAGTTGGTGTAATGGCTATGTCTCTGGACTCCCATGTAGTCGACTGCGGTTCTCATCCCGGACCTGGTGGCTTAAAACTCACGCCGGGCGCGTGTGCATGCATGCCCAAGATCCCAAGAAGAAAACGCAAGAGAAGGGATTGCGGTGTGGCCATCTCCCCTGGGGGGTGATTTATTCATGTATTGAAGTTTTGTTGTATTGTGAGGATATTATAAGGAAATATAATCCAATTATGAGATAGAGACGTGGAAGCCCTGAAATGCAATTAGGATTGGATAAAGTTATTAGGACAAGGTCCTTTACATGAATAGTAGTGAGTTTATAAGGACAGGGAATGAGACCAGAACAGATGCACACAGATACATGGAAGCTCCTGCCTTCTGCCAGGGGATGACGCAAAAGAAGACCCTCAACAGATATGGCCCCAGGATCTTAGACCTTCAAATTGTGAGCAGAATAAATCCTGATTTTTATAAATTACCCAGACTTGGGTATTTCTGTTAGTACCTACAGAACAGACTAGAACAGGGTCCATAAGTAGCCTACATTTTATTATATATAATAGAGCCAATATTCTTTTCTTCTCTTTTTAAAAAATATTGCCAGAGAGTTCATGCACTAACTAGAGATAAGAGAAAGAAAAAGACAGATAGGGAGAGAGAAAGTGAGGAAGTACCCCTTGGGGGATAGCCATGCCACAATCCCTTCTGCTTCAATCTTCTTTCAGGATTTTGGGCATATGTATATACATGCCTGGCATGTTTTTCAAATCATCATGGTCTGTGATTGGAACCATGTAGTCGGCCATGTGGGGTCCAGCCACCCTAACCATTATGCCAACATCTGACGCTGATATTCTTCTTTAGAATTAAATTTTCTTTTTTGTAATCATTTTTTAATTATTATATTATTCTAAAAGGAAATAACCACCTGCTAAAATGTTACCTGTTTAAAAAAACTTAAAAATATATACTGTGGGCATTATTTATACAGTTGTATGAAGAGTTATTTCAAAATATTGTTCTATTATATAGCATTTAGGAGCAAGAGCACAGCAAAATTATCTGATGGTTTCTAAATGTGTAAAAAGATAATGTGATAAAACAAGCAAATATATCTCACCATAAGAATTGTTAGAAATTCTACAGCACATCTTTATTCTTAACAAGGAAAAATACAAATGAAAATTATAGAAATATACCATTTTAGCCATAGTTCATAATATATCATAATATATTTCTCTCTTTCTCCTTTCTTTCTTTTTTCTTTTTTTTTTTTTTTGGTTACATCTAAATACTTCTAAATAGGGACAAAACAACTCATTAGTTTTTGACCTAAGCGTGTATAGGAAAGCTTATTTTTCCAGTTGCTTTATTTCTTAGACAAAAAAAAGAGAAAGAAATTAAATAAGGAATGTAAAGAGAAGCAAAAACAAATACATTTGTGTGGTCTGACAGAGTAGCGTGATGAGGAGGTCTGTAGCAAGATCCCTGTGGACTTGAAAAACTACTGGAACTCCCAAAAAGAGCTTAGTCTAAGTCAAATAAAGATCTCTGCAAATGTAGAGGTCACAGTGAAGGGTCTCAGGGTATATTTGTTGAGTGTAATTGAATAGCTTACAGTATGTTTGAATATCTGGTTCATGTTAAGGAAACACACACACACACACACACACACACACACACACACACACAGAGCTAAAAAAGCCCGTAGTTCATGCTGCCCTTCCCAAATCTGTTACCATGGAAACCATACTGCACTCCCAAGCAAGTATGAGTGTTTCAGTCTCATGTATTTAGTGAAGTTCTTTTGGCCATTTTTAAGATGATGG